GAGCTGTTTACTTCTGTGTGGTGTGGTCACCTGTCTGGACCTTGATTCCTGCCTGGACTCTGATCCTCTGATATTACTCAATAAATTAATTTGAGTTGCATTTCTGCATCTGAGTCCTTTATCCCAGAGAACCCTGACAGGCCCCTTCTTAGATGTATTTATATATGCAATATTTTTAATTCTGTGCCAGACAGCCCTAATATCACCTTGCACAACCTTTCCTTCTATTTTGTTTCTATAATTTAGTTTGGCACGTCTAATCGCTCTTTTGACTTCCTTATTAATCTTTTTTTTTCCTCTTTATTAGTCCCTGATAGGAATACCATTTTTTTTTCTTATTAAGAATATTTGTAAGTTCTTTGGTTACCCATGGCTTGTTGTTAGGAAACACTGTCAAACATTTAGTAGGAATAATAGAAATGACACAAAAATGTATGTAAATGTAAACCATAAGAACATGATCATTCAAATCAGGACTATCATTTAAAAACAGATCCAAGTAAGTGCTCTTAAAGCAACTTTGAAGGTCTCCTATATGCTAGAGACACTCCAGTTCTTAATTGTCTTTTTATCTCTTTCTGCACGCCTTACCACTGGCGTGTAGGTCAAGGTCAAGAGTATTGTATTGTGATCAGCCGTCCCAAGCAGAGCTAAAAGCATAACAACAAGACAATACCATTATTAGTGGCTGTGTTCATGGCAACCACTTGGCCATGTCATTCCCCTCCTGGGTTAAGACAGCATCACAGAAACCTCTTTGAACCACATATTTAAAGGCAAAAGCATGTAAAGTTTCTTCAGAGAAAACTAATTTTAAATTTATGTATCCTTGAATACTGATAGAATAGGCTGCTAATCAGTTAACTTGACAACTTGAAGCGATCTGTCAACCATCTTGACAAAACGTAGCAATACTTCTTCAAGGTATTACTTTACTTTAGCTACAACAGAGTCCAGGTTCTTTGGTTTAATTTACTATGTAGTGATTGTGTTATTATAATTGATTGTTATTTAATTGTGTGCCAATTAATATAGACTGAAAAACAAACAGACAAATAATGTGTGTAATTTACAAAAAATACAGACATTAATCTTACTTACACTTTTACTGACATTAAATGGAAAACAAGCGTAGAAAATGTAAACAAATGTGATGTTGTAGTTAGATTTTACTGCTTAGAGCAATGTTTTACATATTTTTTTTGTAATCATATTATACAGTTTTTTTTTAATATCATATTATGTACAATTAATCTATGCTATTAATGACGTTGACAGGTCTGTTGGATACTGTTTACAGGTTTTTTTTGTAGAGCAACTAATGGACAACCTGACATTCACAAACAGCATTCTCCTCATGGAAGGACTGAAAGTTACACCTCAGGCCTCTTTTCCCATTTTCATCTTGCTTCTATTGATTTATGTATTTGCAATGGGATGTAACATTGGACTTATAATACTGATCTCAACAGATAAAAATCTGCATCATCCTATGCATTTTCTGTTCTGCAATTTGCCACTGAACGATATACTAGGAACCACTGTCATGTTGCCACGCTTGCTACAGGACATTTTAAGGGAAGCCTCAGAACGCTACATGACATATGTGGAGTGTGTTGCTCAAGCATATTTTGTACACATATTTGCAGCCGCAAGCCACTATGTGCTGATGATCATGGCCTTTGACAGATATGTGGCTATATGTAATCCACTGCGATACACAGCCATAATGACCAATAAAATGGTAGTAAAACTATCAGTATCAGCCTGGGGGCTGTCAGTATTCATAGTGTCTATTATGTTAGGTCTTACTATACGACTGTCTCGCTGCAGATCTAAAATTGAAAACCCTTTCTGTGATAATGCCTCACTGTTTAAACTGTCCTGTGAAAGTGTGGTCATTAATAATGTGTTTGGAATTATTTATACTGTAATTGTTTTTACTTTCTCACTTGGGTCTGTATTTATAACATACACTAAGATTGCTAGTGTATGCATAACCAGCAAAAACAAAGCACTCAACAGCAAAGCCATAAAAACCTGTAGCACCCACATAGCTGTTTATATAATCATGTTTGTTTCCTGTGCAACCATGGTTTTTCTCCATCGTTTTCCTGAATACTCTGAAAGCAGAAAACTAGCTAGTATAATGTTTCATATAGTACCACCAGGACTAAATCCTGTAGTATATGGTTTACAAACCAAAGAAATAAGACAAAAGTTTATAAAACTTTGGTACAGAAATAAAGTTAATCTGAAATAAATTAATTATAAGGAATGTCTGAAATGTAATATATATGTATATATATATATATA